AGCAAGCTTCAGAGCATGAATTCCACGCCATCTCAGCATGTGACCGTTTTGTGCTTTAGATGTGGAAGTTCTAGACACAAAACGGACTGTCAAACGTGTCCGGCCCGTACGGTAGATTGCAAAAGCTGTGGTAAGCGGGGCCATTTCGCCCAGTGTTGTCGTTCCTGCCGCGTAGCACTAGTTGAACAACCATCGACTGAGTCTTCTTCTGCGTCTGCTACGGAAAATATTTTTTCGGTTAGAAAACCTCATCAACCAGGCACTCGGAAAACATTCTTGATGGAGCTCAATCTCCCTTCCCCTGACATTCGAACAGTTATGCGCCATGGCCCACACATCACTGTGCCAGTTGCGATGGGATTAGATTCTGCATCGCCAATAACAATCACCCCATCTAGCTTTTATGACAATTACTTACTTGACATTCCGTTGCATCCCACTTCGTACAAGTTTGACTCCTACACCAATGCCCCTGTGTGCATCCGTGGATATATAGTGACGAAACCTAGTCTACAGTCGGTCGCATCCGACGTTGCTGTGTACGTTGCATATGAAGACAGCCCAGCCTGGCTGGGGCGAAGTGCTATGGTCGCTCTTAACCTAACACCATCTATCGATCGAATGCGCATCATAGCACTCAATGCATCAATGCTTAAAAGTTTATATCCCAAATTATTTACTGGGACGATTGATCGGATCCCATCCTTTGATCATCGCTAAACCGTTTTCTATATCGCAGCCACGTCCTATTCCGTTGGCGAAACGTGCTATGGTAGAGAAAGCCAGACAGGAGTTTATATCCAACGATCTGGTAGAACCAATTAACTGTTCCGAATGAATGCATCCCATGGTCAAGATCTTATAGAAGGACGGTACTGTGTGCATATGCAATGACTCGAAGGCGTTGAGTAGTCCGATCGTCGTCGAAAAGTTCGTTCTTCCCACAGTTAATGAGTTGTTAGTCAAGACAACTGGCGCACGATTTTTCTCAAAATTAGACCTGAAGAAGGCTTTTTCCCCCATGCCATTGACACCAGAATCGAGACCACTAACAGCTTTTCTGATATCGAACGGTTTGTTCCAGTAAAAAGTTTTGCCAATGGGGTTTAGCTCTGCTTCCGCAGATCGGCAGAAGTCCATGTATCTCTCACTAGCAGATCTACCGGGACAAGTCGCTCACATAGATGATATTTGCATTCTCGGGTTTTCAAAGAAAGTGCACAACTCAAGGCTACGAGCTGTATTACACCGGTTGGAGAGCCTAGATCTTCGGCTTATTCTTAAAAGTATACATTTTGTGCTACTGAAGTCGAATTCCTTGGATATATCTTATCACCCGGTGGAACCCGGCCATGCTCTGCTAATACTCGGGCTATCACAGAAGTCCCCATACCGAAGAATGCATCTAAGGTTAAGCATTTTCTTGGTCTATACTGATACAACTTACGCTATTTGCCCGATTTTGTTACCGTAGCGGAGCCCTTGAGAATGATTACAAAGAGAAATGCCACATTCGATTGGGGCTCTGAACACTACTCTGCCTTTGAAGAAATTAAAAGACGACCAATGCTGGCCATTTTGGATGAAAACTGCCCTACGTCCGTCTCGACGGATGCGTCAAACATCGGTTTAGGAGCGGTCTTGTCGCAGATGCAGAACGGAGAGGAAAAGGTGATTGGATTTGTCTAGAAAATTATCCCCTACAGAGGTTTTATACACCGCCGTTGAAAGAGAGACCCTCGCCTGTGTCAAGGCTTGTGAAAAATGGCATCTATTCCTGTTTGGTCGGTTTACATTGCGTACAGATCACGCTACTCTAACTACCCTCCTCAGTCGAGGAACCAATGGTCACAAACCACTGCGCGTTAACCGCTAGTATGCGCGTTGACTGAACTATGGTTTTCAAATCACATTCTGCCCTAGCTCCGAAAACCATACGACAGATAGCTTATCACGTCTTCCATTGGATGATTCCGATAAGAATGAGGACGATGAAGAAAGAGTCATGGTTTCCGCTTTACATTCAAGTGAGCTTCCGCCGTAACTAAGCAAGAGCTTCAAGAAGCTAACCAAAGTGACCCAAATGTACAAGCCTTTTTCCTCTACCTCTCTCAAGGCTGACCTCGCCACGCGAAGCTCAGTGGTGAGTTACGGGCGTTTTATGTTTTACGACACGAGTTAGCGGTCATTGATGGTTGCCTCATGCGAGGATCGAGCTTCCTGGCTCCACAGAGAGTAACACCAAAAATTATCCAATGTGCACACGAGGGACATCCGGATATCGTACGAACGAAGCGCAAGAAGATTTTTGGTGGTCGAAAATGACTAAAATGGCAGAGCTGTGTGTCCGATCTTGCGATGCATGTCAGAACACCGACAAGCGCTCTACGCCGATCGATGCACCCATCCAACATACCGTTTATCCAATGGAACCTAGGTCGAAGTTGGCGATTGACATCATAGGACCATTCCATTCTGCACCACAGCACCAGCGAAACTGTCTAGTGGCCACGTGCTTTTACAGTAAGTGGCCTGAGATTCACCTATGTGGCAATGTGCACTTCAACCGTTATAAGGCGACTGAAGCATCTATTTGTTAGATTTAGACTTCCTGAAGAAATTGTGACGGACAACGGATCGCAATTCACAAACTACGAGTTCCGACCTTTCCTACAACTTCACGATGTGAAATACGTACGAACTGTTCCGTACAATCCAGCTACCAACGGAATGATTGAGCGCACAAATCGCTCACAAAAGGAAAGTATACAGACAGCACGTTTGTCCGGTATGCATTGGGAAGATGCCATAGTCGAGGTTCTGTTTGCCCACAGAACGTCGCACCACAGAGCGACCGATCGCACGCCAGGAGAGCTAATGTTCGGCAGGAAGCTACGCACGAAGTTAAGCGCGGCTATTTCGGCTGCGGAAAACAGCGATTCCCACCAACTGGAACCTCACCGACGTTATCATTCCTCTTACGTAAAGCAATCCATACCGTTGTGTCCCGGAACGTTAGTCCGGCTAAAGGAAGGCAGATACGTAGAGGGCAGTCGGCATTATCGCGCCCCATCAGAATTACTCGGACCTTAGGGCCAGGAAGGTACGAGCTTGCAGACGGTCGCCATGTTAACGCCAGGCAGTTTTACTCAACCCTTCAACCGAACGCAGAGTCAATGTCCAGCAACGAGGTCAAAAGCAGGGGGCTAGCAACTCAATTGTCACTCATGCTGATGATGAGGTGATGTTGTAGCGCCTACCGCAAGTTTCAGTCATGCTCATCACGCACCGCAGCCTGCAACTGATTGAATGAGCGTCATCGGTGGATCAGTATCAAGGTCATTACGCCTGTACCTTACCCAACTCACTTTTGAGGATAGCGTGTCCGCCCCGTGTTCTGGTTCCGTTAGTGGGTTCCGCCCGTAGTGATGTAAGACCCTACTTGCGCAGGGGCCTACTCTGCATATTGGGACACAACATCAGTGACAGCTGTTCCAGCATCACGTCCAGTTCAATGGAGTCTTTCAGGTAGTACGTAGCGAGGAGTTTATGCACTGGATCTAACAGTTTCGCCAGTCACCGCGCAACCTTGTGATAAGGCGTATTGTTCATACACATAATAGGGCGTAGCGAGTTGCCTGCGTACTATAACTTGGGATCGCTTCTCATTCTGGGTGTCTGCGTGCCGCACGTTTTTTAATGCCTGTATTGCGACTCTTTGATGTAACCACGTAGCAAGTGGATCTGGATTTTCTTTGCCACTTGCTTCTCACCAAGATGTTTTCCGGTGTATTATGCAGCTGGAACTTCCGCCTGTCTTCCAGAATGAGCTCCATCTTCGAAATGTAGTCAAGCCTGTTCATTGCTACCATTCCTGATCCTCTATGCGGCTGCATAAACATTATATTTTCCAATTGTTTCAATTCCCTGATCGCCGTATAATGTTCCGTTTGCTGACTGCACCTCTGCTTTATCGGTATACACCAGTATTGCTTCGCAATACCTGCCAATTTCGTCCGAAACCAACCCGCATCTTCCGTCCATCTTGGCGAGAGGTCACTGAGCTGTTCATTCAGATACCTAAAAATGGGTCTGTGTGGTGAGTTTGTCTAGCGCTTTTGGCGGCAATCGGTATTTCATTCCGAGAGAGGGAACTACCAATTGCATGCGCATGAACTAGGCAGTGGACAGACTGTATAAGTGCTTCAAGCAATCAGTAGAAATGGAATCATTGGTGGTAAGGGAACCCTGCAGACTGCGCACTGTTTTGCTCTCGTGCGACGGAGAACTTCAGCGGAAAACGCCTCAAATTTCCGTCGACAAACCAACGACTACGCATTGAGCGTGCATGCGAACCGTCTCTGTGTCTCGAGAAATTTCCGTTCTCGTTCAAGGCAGGCATCGATGTACGCCGATGCGATCCTGGCCAGATTGGAGTTGTTTATCGGCAACTTGTTCCTAGTCAGGGTTTTTGCGAATCGCGGCGGGAAAGAACCTGAGCAGATGCAATCCTCAAAAAACTTCACATGAGCTCATTCAACAGCTAACTTGCAGCGTAGCGACAACAATCGGTATAATGCTCTCGCAACGGCAACACGGTCTTCTTCACAGAAAAGTAAAACAGTGGGTCCCCTTCAACCATTTCATCAAGGCAGAGAGAAGACAGAGATTTCAATATGTCAACCTTTCGATTGTTCTCTTCGGGCTCTTTTGGGTCCGTCGGGCCACGGGTCATACTTGACACACTCCTTTTAACAATTCCTTACCGCACAACAAATTTAAGGGCTTGAAGCTTGCGAACTTACCCTGGTTGAGCCCTCTCCTACTTTATAGTTGCCCAGCTATTTACCAAATCTCCTTTCTCAGTGTCTAGTAATTCTTTATTCTCTGGAATCCGATGATGGCTTTTCAATTAGGCGCACACATTGGTTTTCAAATTAGCGCCTTAACTTTGCATGTTTCTATAACTTTTCTCCCTTTCTACTTTTCCCCCTCCTCAGGACGAAGGGGAGCTGGAGCGCGTGTTTTTAAATGCCGTCTTTAACTCTTGGGTGTTTCGCCTTCGTGCGAAAGTGGACCGGTACAACGTAAGTTCATGGTATATGTGGGTATTGTTCTTGGCTTGACAAATGCTGTGTCAATAACATTAATAATCCCAAATAGGGATATCAGAAGATGAAGGTTGTGATGTGACACTGTCATTTCATGCATACTCTTCCATCACGTACATGTTAATAACAAAGGGTTCAAAACAATGTCACATGAAATCGATTGGTGGCTAATCGTTTTCCGACCGATGCGTTGCACGCTGACACGGTAGCATTAGTGTCAGTGTCTTATTTTCGAATACAAAGTAGTGGACACTGTCGATTGATAACAATGGCCTCGAGGAGCTTGAGAATGTGAGATGTTTGCTTGTGCATGATTACTGCGAAGGGTGCATCGGGGCTGACCTGGTTGCCGGTGGTCATCAAATGCTTCGTAATTGCCTAGGCAACCTTGGTTCTAAATTCACCTGATGCAACCGCCACGTCTTCAATCCGTTTGTGGAGCCACTTTGACACCTATTCATTGATTCGGACACCTAGATTTCAATCAGTGCGCCCAACAAAGCCGTCTCTATAGCTACATGTGGATTTGTATGAACAATGGGACGTGCACTGCTTCAACACTGGTGTCTTTACCAAGCACTTAGGCAGTACTCTTGTGGACATGAACAAGCGTAGCTCTGCCGAACTGAGGTGCCTATTTCGTTGCGCAGTGACTTTCATGAGCTTGTCAACGAACGATAACACAATAAATATCTGTTTCTTTTGAACCATCATCCCTCGATCTTGTTTCATGTCACTGGAACGTTTTTTGAATTGCAATGGATAACCATTAGATAATCTCACGTCATCCAACAGTACTTTATATGATTCCGGTGTGTCTGTGGTGCAAATCATATGTGATCGATTGAGCAGCTAATTCTCTAGTAGGTTGACCTTTTGATAGAGCCATCTGGTTGTCGTGTAAGCGGTATATCTAGTTGTCGGAAACAACTGTTGTGCCCTGTTTTGCATGTTGCAGTAAGGTTCTAGTACACGCCATTGAGTGCTTTAGTTGCAAGTATAATGTTTTTATCCGAATCCATGACTAACATTAATTCAGCATAGCGTCTATATAAAGTGGGAAGCTATAATTAAATGTTTTTCTTGATAAACTCAACGAGACCTCGGTGGAGAGAGACTGCAACTCACGTTAACACATACCTTCGTGAACCACCTTGAAGCCTTCCAGATGGAAAGGTATTCCGAAGACGGTCGATAGAGTATGTTTTACATTCGTGGAGTACGCTTTTAGCTCTTTATCCTCCGAGATGAAACCATGAAGCAGTAAAAGATGTACTTCACGACACATTGCTTCTGGACTGCCCGAACTGTGTCAAAAGTTGTATCTGGATTGAGTTTTGTAGTGTCAGTATTAGCGAGTAGTAGAGAGATTCATCGTTTTTGAGAAGATTCGGCGCAGCTAAATTCAGCCAGACAGCCACCGCACATCCGGGAAAGTGCTAAATGGCTGTTTCGTATTGTCGGGACTCGTCAGTAGCGCGCATCCACCGTGTTCGTACTCTTCACTTTACGAGTTTGGGACTGAGCCATGGGTGATGGCGGTAGTAGGTAATCTTGGGCGGATCATCTCGCCCGTCGAGAATGACGGCTCCGGATCCCTTGTCATGTTTTAAACTAACCATTTCTTTGATTCGTTCCCGTTCGAGGAACACTTGGTATTGATCTACAGTGGGATACGCCACTCGTTCTCGGATATTCTTATTTGGAATTGTAAGGGAGCCGTGTGGGGATTTGAATGGTATAAGTAGAACTTCATTACATCTAGAATCAAGCATACATCGATCACTTGCCGGTCGCTCCTGGCCCACTGATCCCAATCACAGTTTTGCAACAGTTCCGTTTCGGGTTCAAACCCCACAGGGGTTAGACGGAACACGCCGTGCTGACGATTCCCGAATGGATGAAACGGCCATACAGTGCTTTTCCGGATTTCTCATGGCTGACTGAGTCTAAATATGGTGGACCACTACTTCACACCAAACTTTTCCTTCCCATTTTTCAAAATGATAAGGAAAATCATCTTGACAGGACAATCTGAATTCAGCTATTTCTCCTTTTCTCGTCAGTCGTTTTCACCGCGCCGTACCTGCATACTGCTGACACCTTTTTTTAGAAAGGTAGCACGGATGTGGGAGTACAAAGTATGTGTTACTGTGCACCTCTATAGGTGTTTTTACTAGCCACTCTTAATCCCTTGCTAATCCGTTCGGGAGTGTTGTTTCCCCTAAATGACAACGATAAGTACTCGGGTTCATTTTTTTACGATGGGTTTTCCACAGCCCTACAGTCAGTTCAGGCGTTTCTGTCAATGAGCCCGTCAGGATAACGATTAGTAGAGAACAGTTCTTTTATTGTACTGCGATGTGCCTCACTTGTATCCTCGGAGTATACTTTTGCTGCTTTTCGGATAAGACCTCGAACTGGACTGTTTCTGACATTGTCGCAAAGTTGTCAGTACATTTATACTGACCAATCCATGTCGCTTACTGTGAATTCTGCGTTGCAGCGAGCCGTCTGGTCGACGTGATATCTAAATATCCCACTCCATTTGCATGCTCAAGTGAATGCTATTGTGGGATCGAATGAATTTCTGCAATAATTCAAACAGGTTCATTAGCCGAAATAATTTGGAACACTGGTAGCCCGGCTTGGTTGCTCACCTGTTGATCGTTTTTCCGAGCTTGTTTAAGAGATCGCATACGTTTCACCACCATGCGAGGTGGCATCTTCAGTGCGGTAATAGGCAGACATTCCGTCAACATAGAGTGACAGTCGCTCAGTCATTTCACTCGGCGGACCTACTTTCGCCAGGACGTCATTAGCAAACAAGGGGTCCAGTGGTGGTGCCATCCAATCTTTGTTGGTATATCTGTTCGGCAAAACGGGGCTGGACGTAGTAGGTACGCTGATAAAATAACATCTGCAGTTTCACAAGTCAATCATTTTGTTTGTCGGTGCGCTCGATGCGTTCAGCTAGATAATCAATAGTCCCTACGCCGTGAATATTGTTGGATAGCTGTTTTCCACACGTTTAACTCTGATGATGATGAATGTTATTGAATTACTCACTTTTAATCCTCAAAAGAATCTTGTTTTACACATAATATAACGGTCTGAAGCTTCCGCCTCTATTTGTGTATATAAAATTTCCATCTGGGTCTTTGAGCAAATAAGTGCATCACCGGGCAAATAAATCTTATTTTTCTCAGAATTGTATTTTATTGCAAGAAAGCGTTGGCAATATTCTTTTTTGATTACGGCATTGGTATATTGTGCTACCAGCGTTTCCGTTGTACTCGACAACAAATTACTACATTCGCTCACCTGACATTTAGTCTGTTTATTCTTTGAATCAAAAATAAACCACTGTTTTCTTTTCAGGACGAGGAGCGCTTACGCGTAGTCATTGCAGAAGCAAAGCCTTTGGATCACGTGGATTACGCACGACGCTTGCTCAAGGCGATTAACGAGTTGGCACCGAAGTTACCGGCCGAATATACGCAATACACTGTTTAACGTCCTTCTGTCTGCATTTTGTTCGTAAACCTTTTTTACTCTTTGCTGTGGCATCCTAATTGTTACAACTGCTGTGCGCGGCATAACTAAATGCGGTGGGTAGGATAAATTGTGCTGTTAAACCGTGATTCTAAAATCACAATCATAACTAATGCAAGTTGCGGATGAACGCAACGGTTCGCAAGGACAGAAAATAATAAACCCCCGTATCTTTCGAGCAGTAACCAATCTGAAACGTAGGAACGTAACATAGGAAACGACGATTGATTTAGGCTGTGAACTGCGGGGGATTCCGGTCTTAAACGGAAGTGGCTAGTCACAGAACGTCTAGCCAGAGTCTGTCGTAAAATTACGAGGTGAACATAAATCAAAGGATAATAGTCTACTCATTCAACATCTTGGAAAATACTTGGAACCGATCGAGAACTCATGATTTCAGAAAGGTTTGAAAACAACCGGTTGGTATAATTTGTGGGCAGCGTTTCGCTTTCGGCACAAAAGCTTCGGCTGGCTCAGTGATCCAGTCGGAGATTGGTATACCACTTATAGCGAACTGGAGTGATAATCGCGACGAATGGGATGTAGGCACAAGGCCAATCACTTTACAGGTCAACGCACCATACCAAATAGTACATAGAACGATCACAAGTGGCCGTATTAGAAGGTCACACAGGTAAGCCCTGTTAACGATGGGTGGGGGGATGATATGGTGTTCATTTTCTGCCCTGGATACGTCCGCCAGCACTCATCGGACTGATCGGGTTAAGACTGCTCGCCACACCCTCGAAAGCTCTGTTTCGTCCATCCTGTTCTCGCAGCTGTTCATCTTGCTAATCTCAACCGCCTCAGCAGTCAGCCTCTGGGGAGTTGACCGCAATCCCTTTCTAACGATTTCGACGTTATCCAAATCGCCCTTATAACCTTTATGTATATCGTGCATCACTACTGCAGAGCTTCTTAGTAGAGTCATATAATAATAATAATAATGTATATTCTCCGTTTTACGAGGCATGTCCTGTTTGGCATGATCATATGGTTACAATTGTTTCACATAGTTTAACAGCATTTCTCATGTCAGGCAGAAATAAAAAAGGTTTTTTATCCGCTAGGGTTTTGCAGTTCAAAGCCTTGTTTGGGCACAGAATATATCATAGCGTCCTGACGGAGATCTCCTTGTACGGACGGAACCGAGTTTTCATTTCCTTGGGCAAAGGATGAGAAGCAATTTTGATGATAGGAAAAGATTAAAGCTGAAATCATACCGTTTAAACAAAGCATCTGATAGGTAAATCATTTACTATGATTGTGGCGTTCTAAAAAGATTGGTGAAAGACGGAGGTATTTATTTACTTTCATTTCAGCAACTGTACATATGGGCCGAGACAGATAGCATGGGAGATTTATCTGTTGTGTGTGAGGTGAACTTGATTGGCACTTGTCGACTGACGCAAGTGTTTTTATATGACTGTTTGCTAAGTGTAAGGGGAGAAATGTGAGCATTTTTGAAATAGTGATGAAGATGTTGGAAGCAGAATCGGTTAGCTTCACCGTGATTTCTGACAGGTTTGCATGAGAGCAACGTGGGAAGCATAGACGAGTAAGAGAAGAACGAATGGTAAGGTCGAATGAAGATGGATAGATTCAGTCAGCGTTTCCTTCTCAGCTCACACTTTTTGGTATGGCTGCAAGGTAGGCGTGGCGTGGTTAACAGAATATGAAGGAGTGGAGACAAATATGCTTATCTCCACCTCAGTTCGCAATTCATCTGCAGTTCACACTTGTTGGTATGTCTGTGTTATGCTTTCCCGAGTAAAGAAGGAAAGCGGGTCGGGTGAAGAAGAATGAAGGGAGTTCTGGCAACAATATATCTTTTTTCCAATGCACTCCTTCAGTAGGGCTTGAGTAAGTGAATACAATGTACGTAGCACATTTCTTGTATATTTGTTATCAACGCAATTGGATGTTAACACACTGCACTTGTCCGCTGGGAAAGACATTTGCCAGTCAGTGCACCATGATTCCAAGGCCAGTAGATTGATGCAAACGTTTTCTAGGGTGTTACTCATACACCGGGTATTGAAGGTGTACAGTATTTTTATATCATCCACAAATAATGTGTTCCAAATTCTATTTTTTTCAGTTATATCATTGAGCAAAGAACCTAACACACTTCCTTGAATCACACCACTTTTATTTTCAGTGGTAAAGACTTAGTATGTCTTATTTGTATCTGCTGCGTACGATCAGATAGATAAGATTTGAGCCATGTGTGCAAGAGATCAGTGATCCCGAAATTGAGTACTTTCACCAAAAGGTTGTTGTGCGGCACTCTGTCAAAGGCCTTCTGCATATCAATAAAGAGAATGATGGCTGCTTTTCCATTGTCAATGGAGCTTGTCAGATGGTTTAGAAAAGATAGCTAGCTGACATGAGCGTCTTTGCAAAAACGCATGTTGAATTAGGTTTATTAAATTCAATGACAGTTTGGATGACGGTTTTCCATACCACAATTCTTCCCATTATTCTCGAAATAATCGGAGTGTGTCTAATTGGACGGTAATTTTTTCTGTCTAGTTTTGAACCATTCTAATGTCTAACTTCTACAATAGGGAGTTCGGGAATACACCCGAATTCATAGATAGGCTAAACACGTTTAGAAACAAGTGCGATATATCCCGACCACCAAACTTTATTAGAGAAATTGGTAGACCATCAGGTCCAAGATGGAACAAAGACCGAAGCCGATCAATGTGACCTTGAATGACACTAATCGAAATGCACTGTGCTAAGTTTACCAACATCAGTAGTAGCTCTAATCTTAAGTGTGTTGCTTGAGGTAGTAACCAAAGCGGAAAAGTGCTCATTCATGACGTTCCCTATTATGCTGGGGTCCCTGATCATGGATCTGTTAGGTAGTACGATGCTTGATGCCGATTTAGTTTGACTGTCGTTTCTGGCCTTCAGTAGCTTGATCAAGGCTTTATATTTATTGTCATTTATCAATGCTCGCTTTTCCTCTGTTAGTAGCCTTGCAGCACGAATCGACCGCAACTGGTCAAAGAGCTTATCCTGTCTGATAAGTAAGAAGTCGCGAGTCTGTCTAATTTTTGAGCGTATTATTTTCAGCTTACTCAGTAGGCATGCTTCGCGCGTAGCTTTCGTGACAACCCTATCGAGTGGAGCAAGGATATCAAGACAGTGTCGGATATTTGTGTAAGTTTCTTCTGCTGCAACCTGTGGATCTCTGGTGAGAAAGCGGAGATCCCAGTTCATTTTTCGCAGCAGTATAGCGTATGTGTCCCAGTGTACATTTTTAAATTTCCTGAAGGGCTCTATTTGTTGCCTTGTGTTACAAAGTGGGACAGGATCGAGTGCAGCGAAACTGAGGTACACGACTTTATGATCACTACCTGGTAAACGAGATAATACATCGATAAATGTGGGCTGTGCGTCTTGCACAAAATAAGATCTGAATTATTGTTTTCCCCGGTAGATTTATGAACTACTACACGGTGTTCCATCCAGCCTTCAGGTATTGCTATATTGCTTTTCGGTGATGTAATGGTTAGATCATTAAATGGTATGAGCTGTCTCAGCGTCTGACATTGGGAGTGCAGTGATTTAATATCCAATGAATTTGATGAACAGAGGAGCAGTGCGCTGGGGTACTCCTCTGACGATGGCTGGAGTCATACTTGAGATAAGGAGTCCTTTTAAAGTTAGGTTCTCTGTGAGTGTTTGCAGAATATCGACAACTTTGTACGCATTAGGTATATTTAAAACTAGGACTTTTATTACGTCAGCATACCTCCGGAGAGCCTATGGTGCACTGAGGCTGGTGGTGGCTAGATCCTGACAGATGGTCTACTCACTGCTGCTACTGTTGTGCCATTGGCTCATGTCCTGCACGCATCCTCGTGGTGACCGCTGGGTGGGAGTTGGGTTACGCCCTTCTCCCTCCTAAGATCCAGGACACCAATCTGCATGAGTCAGTAAACTGACCATGTGCTAGACTCGCTGTCTTTCGGGTGTACATTTAATCGAAGGCTTTGGCTGAGGACCCGAGTCGTTCTCCTGTCAGGTGTGGGCGCCCTGCCAGTATCCTAGTCCATCCTCTTCGGAGGTTAGGAAGTGGTCGATGACCCTCTTCCCGTAAAACCTAGCCATGGGAGACAACAGGTCTACGGGTTATAGGCTCACAGCTCGATTGACGTAGAGCGCGAGCGCCACGCATTGTCTCCGACGGTGGAAGGGCACCTCCGGGTGTTCAATGGTTTGCTACTGCCCGCCTCAAGCCAGGCAGCCCCTGGTCAATTTGGTGCAAACTCGCCAAAACCCACCTGCATCTGGCTGTGGTCACAGGTGGATATCCTACTACGGTCGCAATACATATATAAATCGTTCCATTACCTCAAATGCTACGTGTGACGGCCGTCAATCAGATCCCAATCTGTCTCTGCAATCACATTCCCGAGCTGGATCTGCTCCCCACTGCCTTGTGGGTCAGGCTATTGAGCCAAAAGGTTCCGGGTGGAGCCCTTCAAGCTAACCTCCAAACCACCCACTTTCTTGTGGGTCAGGCTATTGAGCCAAAGGCTCCGGGTGGAGTCCCTCAAGCAAACCACCGAAGCACAGTGACCACCTCGCGTTCGATTGCCCACCAATGCAATCGTATGCCTGCGCGCAAAGCACTCAGCATCGGGTGCTGGAACGTGCGCACACTACTGGACTGGAACTCAAGTGAGCGCCCCGAGCGACGCACTGCACTGTTCGCGATGGAACTGGCGCGTTACCACATCGATGTTGCGGCGCTCAGTGAAACCCGGCTCGCTGAGCAAGGTAAGTTGCATGAAGCTGGTGCTGGCTACACATTCTACTGGGTGGGCAACGCCGACTCAGCACCACGTGATTATGGGGTCGGATTTGCAATATCCGATCGCGTGAATGGCCAGCTGGTGGATGAACCAACAGGCATCAGCGCGCGACTGCTGACTGTTCACCTGCGACTCGGAAGAGGCAAGTTTGCCACTTTTATAAGCACGTACGGTCCGACCATGTGTTATCTTGATGATTCGCGTGATCAATTCTACACTG